AAAAATGGTAATGGGGAAATTCAAGGAAAGAGTCATGAAACGAGAGACGTCGAGGGTTTTATCTATGGCTGCTGCTCTGTCGCAGGGAAGAGCATTTTCTCATTTCACAATAAAAGCCAAAGACGAGAGAGAAAGAGACGGGCTGTGGGTCTGAAATCCGAATAGAAGAGACGACTGTTTGGAAAGGAAGAAGCTTTATGTAGGGAAATGAGAGCATATGCTCTAGGGTAAATGGGGGATTAGCGAGTACAGAACTTCAAGAACGAATTTTTATTTTGACTCAAAAAATTAAGAAAATTAAAAGAATTTACATCAAAATAAATTTGATTATTATCCTCTTTATTTTCCTTTAATGAGATATAGGGGTTTTTTTTTTTTTTTTCCTTTGTATAATTATATTTATTAATTTTAATATTTAATAATAAAACAATTAAATATTTTAAAAATAATTTATAATTTAGTATTAAATATGAAATACTTTAAAAGAAGAAATTTGAAAGTAATATAACTTATAAATATCGTCCACTTTCAATGTATACAAATTTTATTAATTTAATGATATTTTATTACCAATTAAATTGCCTTTGTTCATTTCGAATTAAACACTTCTAAATATACAATATTCAATGATAATTAATTACATCATTTTTATTATTTTTTTAAAAAAAAATTGTAAGTAATTCCAATATTAAACACTTAATTTATTAATTAAAAAAATATTATTAGTAGGAAATTGATGCCCAAATTAAACACTTAATTTAAGAGGATTAAGGAATATGATTAGCTTATAATGTAATTACGGGAGAGATTACATATTTAATTTGTGTTAGAGAGGATCTTCAGTGGGACCCCCATGGATTTCCTATTTTACCCCTGCGCTGCTTTCTAATTCCAGCGCTAGCCACTTATCATTTTCTATTTATTATTAATGAAATAAAATTATTTGTTTATTTATTTATTTATTTTTATAAAAATTTATCTTATTTTTAGAAATAAATAAAAAAAATATTTTATTTTTTTCATAGACCGCATACAACTTATTTTTATAATTCATTTTTGTTGGATTTTTTTTTATATGTAAACTTCGATATGCGTATCAGATTATCAATTTATGAACTCGTTTAAAAGTGATCAAATACGGTTAAAAAGTGTTAAATTTTAATGCATCTGACTTAAGTACGAGATTGTAATGTGCGGATACTCTTTTATAATATTCTCATTTTATGATGAACGAAATAAAAATTGTAAAAATTTATCGATATAAAAGGCAGTTATGTTTCTCGAATCACAAGTTCGTCATTTTATTTTTTCTGAAATCCTATCGTCAGAAAAAATTAGTTTTTGAGACATCATGTTGATCCAAAAGTATCTACCGCAAATCACAAGTGAATCTTTTGCGATTGATCCAAGTAAGGTTCTGTTTATTTTATTTTTTATTAATTCAGTATGATATTGTGTATGTAGATTTACAGATCAATTGATTTTAAAAACATTTTTATTCTAACGATTATAATTAAAAAAACATATCAAACATAAATATAATAACTATTCTCTATAAGTACAGAATATAGAAACCGTAATAAAATATAACATAATATACAAAAATAACCCATTTTTATAATTAAATAGAAAATTTATAATTTTATAAACTATTATATGTTTTAGTTATCATATTAATCTTGGTATTAAAGGGAATAAAACATTGAAAATCATATATTATTATGTTGTGCATTCAAATGAAATAATAAATCACATAAAAATTTCATAGGTTATGTTTAATTAGAATAAATTTAAAAAACTAGTTAGGAAATTATATTTACAAGTTTATAATTAATTCCACAAACATTTCACCGAAAAAAAAAATACGATATTGAGATAAAATTCTATATAAAATTGTAATAATATATTTTAAATTTTACCAATTTTGATAGAATTTGAAATTATAAAATTCTATATAAAGTTAATTTTTTAATTTGAAATTAATTTATATCCTTTGTAATTAAAATATTGAATTTATTTTGAAGATTTAATTAGTAAACAAAATTGAGATATGATTAAATATATAGTTAATTGGGGTTAATTTTTTTTTTTTTTAAATAAAATTACTGTTGCAAGAAAAATTGTAAAGCCTTTTTCCATCCACAGTAAAATGCTCCCCACTCTCAATCCCATATGAACATATTCCTCTTTTGGGATAAGCATAAGCATAAGCATAAGCATAAGCATAAGCATAAGCCCTTTTATAGAGGGTTGCTTCCCAAAAATGCTTCCTGACTAAATATAGAAAAGCACTTTTTTTATGTTAAAATTCACACTTCACGTGGATCTTACAGAATTCTAATAACCAGCCTTAATGGTTCTCCTTTCTATGAATGCTATATATGCTAACATAAACAATGACTTACATTTCGTAAGACTAAAATAATAAATTTATGTGTCCGACATTTCTCTCATGTACAAAATGTACACTAGTACGTAATACATCCATCACGGAAGAAATTACGAATATAATAATTCAATGGTTAAAGTTTTTATACTTTGTTTTGAACGTCATGAGTTCAAAATTTATTAAAAATGTAAAATTTGTAACAGTTTATAATACTTAATTCAGTGATACAAAGAGTTTATCTCATTAATTTGTTGATGAAATTACGTAACCGAACTAATTTACTCTTAGAGAATTATGATATATGCAGATAAACGAATATTTTACCGTGTTTAAATTAGTTAAGATAATTATAACGAATCAAAATATATAAATTTTCGAAAAGATATAGTCATTGAGAACAAAAATTATCATAAAATTCTAACGGTACCCAAATCACATGATTGATGTCGTAATCATATTGAACTTTTTTTTATCAATCAACTATTTATAGATATAGTTCTAAAAAGTTACTACTTAAATATGTAGCATGTTGAAGTTGTATTCTTCATGGTTTTAGGGTTTTTAATTTAAGATTTTATATATTTTTTAATAACTTACTCTTCTTAGTTAAAGTATTAAGCAAACTGATTAATCAATCTCTTTGACAAATACATCATTCAGTTCTCGTTATCTTTTTTACGGTCGTAAAATTAGTAATTTGATTAACATTTGAATTATAAAGTAGTAAATTATTTAAAAAATATATATATATGAAATCTCAAATCGAGATTTGTATATTGATATACAAAATTAAGGGTGTTAATTCCTTATTATTAGAGTGAGGAAAATTAATGAATTAAAGAAAAATGAAGTCAATATTAGTTGGGGACTCGTTAATCTTATTGACCAAGGTAAGCCATATGCATACATACACACGCATATATAATATCCGTATAAGCTGATTATATAACTTAAGAGATTCAGTAAACCTCCAGTGAGGGGAAACATGTCTCTGCCGTATATATATGTATATATATATATATATGTATATATATATATATGTATGTAGCATGGTGCATATAACATGTTTGTGGTCCTAAAAGAACACCACCTCTCTCTTTTTGCATTAGTCTTTGAGATTCGAGCCTGCCTCCCTCGCACTCTCTTTCTCCAAATAGTAAATTCATGTGGTGACATCAAAAGCATCCATAACATAAGCCATGGCCTCTCTGCAACTCCACGATGAGCACTGAGAAACGCCAAGCATGTACTATGTCTATATATATATATATATAGAGAGAGAGAGAGAGAGAGAGAGGGTATGAATCTAAGCCCTTCTTCGGATCTGGGTGGCTTCAATTCGTCTTTCCGCTGACAGTGCAAGCCATTTGTGAGTTACCTATTCTTCTTTTTTAAGTTAGTTTATAACAGAACATATACAAACATACGTATGTATACACACACTTAATTTGTTGCTGAAGCCACAATTTTATCTACCGTAACATATTCCCAGTCTAACTTTTACTACTGAAACTAAATCAATACTAATATCTGTATATATATATATATATATATATATTATATATGTAAGAAAAGACTGTGCACGAAAGAAGACAATGTCTTAAGTTTAATATAATAATAAATTCTCAATAAATATATTTTAATTAATGTTTTTTAAATAATTGAAATTTTGTAATTAATTAAAGTGTGGAAAATGAAATGATTAATTTAAGTTTTACATATAAAATTAAATATATTAATAATTAAATTGATTAATTCAATTTTTTTTTTTTCAGTCTTAAATTTTTCAAATCTTACTTTCTACTTCTATATAAACAAAATATATACCCTTATCAAGACAAAAACTTTGTACATACCCATATATATACATACACTTTTACACCATCATGGGGAAACCAAGAACAATCAGATGATATGGTTCGTTCGAGTAGGGTTAAACGATAATGGTGTTTCCAGAACTAGCAAGCTAGGGTTGTCACCTCTTAAGATATGCAACTTTCTTTTCCTGGTTCGTGTACTGTAAAAACCAGCCTCTTTCGATTTTATATACATTACCCCGACGTAACAAAAACTTGCATACTTATTTTGTATCATTTTTCTCTCGTTCGTTGCATCTCGTTTCACCTGATTAAATTTATAGGTTACACTTAACGGTCGAAGAAATTTTATAATTGTGGAGAATTACACGTTACCAATTCGTATATGGTTCTTTGATGGCAGTGTCTCGAGTGAACCTAAGGTCCTCGGCACTAGAAGAAGAAAGAAGAGGAAGAAAATAAAAGTCTACTGATTTTCCGGCTCTCTCTCCTATATTATGCAAATCAATAATATTACATATGATTCCTGGTTAATTTATAAAATTTTAACAAGTTAATATATATATATATATATATGTATATGAATTTATTGTATTGTACAGTTAGGTACAGTAATCCACACAAACATGTATAAGACGGCAAAACTTCAAACTCATTATATACGATCCGTAGTATAGTTACTAAAAGCAGAGGAAACAAATTGGGAGATTTATTAACCCAGTTTGGCAGTTTATGTTATGTATTCCACAAACACAAAATTTATAAAGACTGATTAATAATCATTCAAGTAGGAAGTAGGAATTATAATATCATTCCTCCTCAAAAGCTGTCTGGAAAACATGTAACTATAGATATCCATAGAATTTTTCAGGAAAAGATGAAAAACCAAAGCATGTTTGAATACAAAAATCATTATGACTACACCTGTGCATATAGAGAACATATCTGACAAGTCAGATTACAGAGGTCATCGAAGTCCACCCATCTGGAAGTGCAAAACAATCCAAACATTTAGGCCTCATCAATCTGCTCCTGCATGAATCCCGAAAAGTTCAAAATGAAGCTTAACAATCAAAATAAGACTTCCCAAAAAAAATATATATATAATGCATAATTATCGAAAACACACTATTCAGTACCAATGTTGCTGACTAATAAATCATTTGACCATTCAATTTTGGTCCCAAACTGCACCAAGGAAAAATATGTTGTGACTCTTATTCCATTCAAAACAGTGGAGGGAATCCAGAGTTTCGACGAGTTATGACATATTTTTCACATTCACTGACCAATCCAAATGCAAAAACATCATTTAAAAAATTAATTGACAGCTAATGAGCAAAACTCCCACCAGGAGGGAAACTAACCTGCATGTCTGAAGTCCAGAGAGTGAGATTGTCCCTCAGCAATTGCATGATGAGAGTGCTGTCTTTGTAGGATTCCTCACCCAGTGTATCCAGCTCAGCTATGGCTTCTTCGAAGGCCTGAAGGAAATAAAAAATCATTTGAAATCAGAAACTGAACATTCTTTGCACAATAAACTTGTATCAACATACCCGTCCTGTGAAGGAATAAACTTGTGGCTTAGCTCCCCACTATAGATCATGTCGAAGCTGCTTATTGAAATTATTTATTTATATGTATTAAGGATATCTACTAATCACCAAGCTTGTGGCTGTAACCGTTAAGAGTCTTAAATATGTAACCCAACAGCTATATTTTTCTTTTTCAACATTCTAAGCCACTCCAATTGCTCCTGAGTTCACATGTTCTATTTATCTCCTGCTAAAATGCAGGCATCAATGACCGTACCTGAAGAAAGACTGAATTTTTATTCATAGTTTTCTTCTACATTACTCTGCAATTAATAGAGCAGAAATACCCACTTGGTATCCCAAAATCTAGAAAATATACTTCCTAGAGAATAAAGGAAAGTTTCCCCTTTTTCATGATTCTAACATATATTTCTCTTACCTATTTTTTCTCCCATGTCCTCTCAAATCAGATCAATTTTTCCTCCGTATTTTCCTCCTAAATTTTCTCTCAATATTTCTACAATACCACATCTATTTTCCTTGCCGGCAAATGGGTTGATCAATGGGTGCCCATGATGGGTAAATCCATGACTCCCTTAAAGAATTCATTAAACTCAGCCAGAACAACTACAGAAAAAAAAAAACCGAAGACATTATGTTGACTATTCATATCTCTCCACAACATTAGCTTTGAAACACAGTACAGACTTTTCCATTGGGATAACTGATAACATAGAGGAAAAGTGAACACGTCACTGCCTGTAATTCACCACTTGCATGAATTTACTTCACTCCCAATCTAAGTAACTTTGAAAGGCTAAAATTGACTATAGCTCAAGATTTTTATAAAACCTCAGGCAGCAAAAATTACATAGAAGTTACAAAAACAATCAAATCAACCTTTTAGTTAAGTATAGCTCTGCCATTAGTCCATCTGGCAACATCATCTGGAATTCATACTGTTATTTGCATCAAGTATTAAAGCATTCAATTCATAATATGAAGAATCAAAACCAACTTGAAAGCAATACTTACTAATTTAAGCAAACATATTTGCTTTGAAACCACCAATTATTTAAAATCTAAAGTGCCTGCTTTCTTATTAGTTAACCCCACAAGTACAAAGGAAACTACTCATATATATATTAGCATACCATGTGGGTGTCATATTACTTCTTAAAAAGAGAGTCTTCCAAAACAATAAAACAACAAAACAAGAAATAGATGTTAGGTTCCAATGCACACTTTCACATTTTATGGATTATTTTTCACATTTTATGGATTATTGGATAAGCTAAGCAAAAAGTATATCCATGTATATTAGTTCTTCACATTTTTATATTATTGAAACTTGAAAGAAGAATATACTCTCATATTTCTAGTACTATAAAGAGGTGTTATATGGGAATCATAAACTGGTTCTATAAATCATTCCCGTATCCAGATTTAAAATTCCCCTTTAAAGAATGCTCCTTTGTTCCAAAATCCCTGGTTCCTTTCTCTCAAAAAGAAATCCTCTTGTTCCCCTAATGTTAAGCAAGTCTTACAATTAAGGACGAAAAAAAGTTATGTAGGTCAGGAAGTCATAGAAATTTTATATATTATCATTGATTTCTTTTGAGAAAAGCTGTGGCGAGTTCATCTCATCAATGATAGAATGGCTAGCAGCTACCCCTTCCTGCTGAAGTATCTTAACATTTCACAAAATAGTATTGTCCCCAAAACTCTAACTATGAGAGCATTGTCATTCATTCAATTCGCTTAGGATTACAAACCAGCATCACCTCCCCTCCCCCCCCCCCCCAAAAAAAAAATAATAATAATAACAATAAAGATTAAGACCTTAACTCTTGAGCTTTAAAACAGGGTCAATCTAAACTTCACCTTCCTTATTCTTGAAAAAAATGACATCAGTTTATCTATTAAACTCAGCTTATGATAAGCAAAACAGATAACAGGAGCTACAAGATTTCTTCAGTGATGGCTTTTCCCTACAATCCACATATTTCTAGAAATTAAGGTTTTGCATGTATAAATGTTTTAAATTTATAGTTGTCTTTTCATTGGTTTCTCAGAAACGGATGGTTTGCTGTTATTGAAGTATTTTTCTAGCTGACAATCGAGATGAAAGAACACACTTCATTAGATAATAAAAAGCATTAATGATTATGGTCCACTCCTCTTGATTATAATGCTCCATCCATGCAGTTTTATAAATTTTCCTATAACTTGAGATCATGCGAGCCAGTTGAACTACCAGCCAGAGACATCCCTAATTTTACAAATTTCTGGCCCATGATTTTCTGGAACCATAAAACAGATAGATCCAAGTAATGTCTAATCCCATCCGGTACCTTTGTTTGTGGTTAAGATTTAGTTACTCGCTTATTGGTAGCTTTCTCAAAATTATTTGTTATCATTTCACTCAAATTGAATTGTACTTTCTGAATCTCAAGCAGTAATAGAGAACAAAACAAAAAGAATCATCCGCACATAGTAGCAAAAGCAATAGCAAACACGAGTGGTGCAATAGCTACTTAAAGTAATATGAACAAAGCAAATTCATATTACATAATTCTTTTTTTAATAGAGGTTCATATTACATGATCTAGTAATACCCTTCTCCTATATTAATCTGTTAAAAGATTAAAAAGTGTTTTAGCTGCTTCCCATTCTGATCATATTTCAGAAAAGTATAGCTCGATAAAGAACATAATTTCAAGTCTACATGCAGTATATTGATTTGCTAATCCTCAAATATATTTCTAAAATTACAGAACTACCCAATTTCAAAATGCAGAAATTTACTGTTTGGCTACTACATCAAGAAAGGAGACTTGTATCCTGAGAACAGGAATTTTTCGTTCTCCACAGTTAACAGAATCCAGAAGAACTTCAAGAAGGCGAAACTCAATAATAAGGCAAATCCTTACATAAGGGACCGAGGACAAAGAAAAGAAGCATAAACCTAATGTTCTAGCATGAACAAGGAAAAAGCATACCTGTTTTGCCATGCTACAGGCCTTCTCTGATGAATTTAGAATCTCATAGTAAAATACTGAGAAGTTGAGAGCCAGTCCCAGCCTTATCGGATGAGTTGGAGGAAGATCAGCCAGTGCAATATCCTTCAGCGCAGAAAAAGATAAGCAAGTAAATATGTGAGTGTACTGTGCTTATGCTTGTGTGCCGGTGGATTTCAACTTAATAAGTAGAGCACAATCGTCAAATTCAAGCAAAAATGTCAACTGTCCATCAGAAACGTACAAAATAAAACAAAAAAAGTAAACTAGAAAGCAATCACTGCATAACAGCGTCGTAATCAATAATTCCTAAAATCACAACCATAAAAAAAAAATATTATCAAAGATCCGAATATATTACTCCAAATTAAAAATCGAAAAGATTAAATTCAATACCTGTGCTGTCTTATACGCAAGCATCGTATCCTCGGCGGCCGCTTTCCTCTCATCCCCGACCTTGAATTCCGCCAAGTAGCGGTGATAATCTCCTTTCATCTTGAGGTAAAACACCTTGGATTCGCTAGCTACCGCAGATGGGATCAGATGCGAGTCCAACAGCTTGAGAATGCCGGCACACACAGCGGATAACTCCGTCTCCACCTTGGATCTGTAGTCTTTGACCAGCGCCACGTGCTCGTCGTTCTTGCGACTCTCCTCCTTCTGCTCAATCGATGACACTATGCGCCAGGCTGCTCGGAGTGAACCGATCACGTTCTTGTACGCGACAGAGAGGAGATTCCGCTCCTCCACACTGAGCTCAGCGGCCGGGGTCGAACCCGTCACCAGCTGTTCCATGTACTGAACCATTTCCTCGTACCTCTCAGCTTGCTCGGCGAGCTTCGCCATGTACACGTACTGGTCTCTGTTCAGAGCCGCCATGTGCGTTTCAGAGAGAGAGAGAGAATTCCTTTCTTCCTTCTAGTTTTTGTGGGGTTCGAAATTTGGAAAACGGGGAGGATGGAGAGAGAGAGAGAGAGAGAATATATGAAGGGAGAGGGAATCTGAGAAGTAAAGAGTACTCGTGGATACAGTTACTCGCCGCTCTTCTCTAAAAAACGGTGTCGTTGCTGGGTAGTCACTGGTACAAACGCGTAGGATTTGGCGCGAGTGTGAAGGGAGAGCGTGGGAGTGCGAAGGAAGGACTGAATGGACGATAAATTTTTTGAGAAGATTATATAAAACGTGGAAAGGCGTTAATGAGTCAGATCCCACTTAGGCTGATACTGTTTTAGTCAAACTTCCACCGGAGGTTTGACTGGGCCTTCGAATTTTAAATGGAAAACTTTTTTCTAATTCAAAGCCCAATGGCTAATCACCCGCAAACACAAAACCTGGTCAACGTTGACCATTTTAATTAAATAATTAACGCATAATTAAATAATTAATTTCTACCCTATAACGTTATCTAAGTATTAGTGTTTAATAATTACTAGAATAAGTTCTTTTAATTGGTAAGATTTTAATTCGTGTTATGTTTTAAGTTAATATTTATATTTATAAAATACATATTTTAATTTAAAATTATTAATAAATATATTGTATATGATATTTTATTTATTATTGTAATTATTATTATTTTAATTTATATAAATAAAATTGTGTGAATCGGTATCAGATACAAAATAAATATTAAAATATAATTTTTATATCTAATAATTATAATTTTTTTTTTCTCTATAATTTTTTTTACAATCTATTTCAAAAAGTTAATAATAAAATAAAAATATATTTTATATTTATATTAATTATATATTTAAAAAAACATAAATATATTAAGAAAAATGGTTAAATTATTTTTTTTTTATAAAGACAAAAGTGTAAATAAATGGGAATGGGCGGGCCGAACGCAGAAAACCCTAGAAGAGGCAGAAAGTCCTATAAATTGCCGCGCCCCATTTCATTTTTCTCACTGTCAGCTGCCGCAGCTCTCTCTCACTAGCCTTCTAAAATGGAGCCCTGCGCAGCACCCGCAATTCCAAATCTACCAAAGGCCAGCAAGTCTCTTAGATTTCTTGACACTAACCCTAACAATCTCGTTCGCTTCAGTGCCGTTCTCCCACTCAATCGAGCTCCGAACTATCGTGGCCTTCGCTCTCGTACGAAACAAAACCCTAGGTTCACTTTACTCTTTATTGTTTGTTCATGCTTTTCATTCATTTCGTTTTCTTTATATATAACCGTTTATGCTATGCACATAGTTTGTTATGTGGCGGGTTTTTGTAATACCCTAGGTGGAACACGGTTGGGGAAGTGTTTTGGTTTTTGTTAAGGTAGGATCCTTAGGCTTATGTTTTGGAGCTAATCATCGAAAGCACTATATCAATAGATGTTTTGCATGCTAAGGTTGTAGTATAGTTTTGTTTTGCAGAGAAACGGCTGCATTACTTACCTGGGAATGCCATTTTATAGTCCGTGGCTATTCTGGTTATTGGAAACATGTTAATGGCGTAAACTTATGGGGAACATGTTGATAACGTGTATATATAAGCATTAGTGCTATAGCTATTGATCCGATGTATTATTGATAACTTATGAGCTCATATGGGTAGTAAACGTACTCGTAGTTAAGTATTTGTTCAGGTAATTATTAGTTCATTTGAGCATGTACAGGATCATATTGGGCAAAGGATGCTTTGAGTGAAGTTACATAACTAGTTTTAGTTGGTGGACGCTGCATGATCCAGCGTTATGGTAATTTAACTTACAGTATGAGGTACTGGCATACTAGGCTTTCTAGAGAATTATAAGCCTGTAGCTTTAACACTTCATGCGATCATTCTGCATTTTGCCCGCAATCTTTGATTTCGGGAGAGTTTTGTTTCAGCTTTTTGTATATGCATCATAGGCATGTCCCTAAGACCTATTAAAAACAAGGGAGCTGCTGATGGGCTTTCTTCACTATTGCTTATTCTCAGGAATCAGCTATTTTGCTACCTCATTGCCAAGAGCAACAGCTTCTGAAGAAACATCATATGGATCAAATCAATATGTTGGGGAAAAAAGTGACACGGCAATAGCTGTTGAAGATGTTCCATCAGCTGAGAAGAATGGATACAATGAAACTTTGCTGAAAGACACACCTAAAGAGGAGTCCCCTGCGGATGATCAAGAGCAGACCTCTGAGTTCTTGGATAACCTTAATAAGGTTTGTTTTAGTGCCATATAATTTGTGTTTTTATATCAGTGAGAGCATACAGTGCGTTGTGGCAGGATGTGTTTGTCTTAGTGTTAACATTTCATGAGAAAAGAGTGATGCCATTCAACCAACTAAAATAATTAAGAGAAATTTCGATGCTCATTATAAGTGGTCGGATGAAGAGGTAAAAGTGGTTGCTATGATGATGTTTCTATACTAGTTGAAAGTAGTCATTGACTGCTTAATGAAACTTCGGCAATTGAGTCGATCCTGAGCGGTTAGCTGAGCAACCCACCGTATTTAATGCCTTCAAATGTCTTTTTTTTTTCAGTGATTGTTCTTCAGAGTCCTTTGTTGACCTTTTCTTCTTTCAAGCTGCCATGTTCTTTGATTTTTGTTGTCAGAATTTCAGGCAACAATGATCTCATTGCTCATTTTCTTGGTAACTAGTAAGTTTCCCGTGTTAAGTTTTCTTTGCTTGATTTTTGTATATTATTAGATTCAGGCCTATTGGTAGCTTTTATTTCTGTTTTTCATTCCAATGTGCTTTTCTTCGTTCTTTTTGTTTAGCTTCTCTTCTATTCTGGTGTTTTATGGGCATTATACAATCCTTGGAATATGGGTTTTAACAAAACTAAAGCCAAGAAACTTAGTTCCAACAATCAGTTTGCACTGGAATGTGCGAGACCTGATTCAAGGTGTTCTGGGCTAAGAACTAGTTTATCTGTGTTCAACCAAACAAAATTGTAAACCCTAAATATTTATCTGTTCTACATGACTGGTTTTGGTTCTTCCCATTTTTGAGTGATTGAGCACAGAAAAATTTTTTGTGGTTTCTTTTCTTGAATGCAAATTTGGTTGCTATGATGATTACTACAATTTATGGAAAGTCTTGTGAGATCTTGATGAAAAGTTGACAACTATGTTGATCTGAGCGGTTAACTGAGCAACCAAATTTGCCAACTCCTTCTCCCCTTGTGTTTTCAGTGAATGTCATGAAAATTTCAATCGTGTTTTGGTGTCTGTGGATGTATCAAGTGGCACCTGCTTATTGTCAACCCTCTCCACTGTGATGTGCTCAACATAAAGTGTTGTTACCATTCCATTCCATTCCTTAATGATGCTTTCCTTTCATGATTACATCACTTTTAACTCACCTAGTGCTCTTGGCAAATTTCAATTTACTCAGCCAATTGTATTTCCACCCTTATTCATATCTCTCTCTCTCTCTTTCTCTCTCTCTTTCTCATACAATAACAGTTTTATCACATTGTATATTGACAATTACAATGTTTTATCATCAGATATTTGCGTGCATTGCCATCTTTGCTTGTGGAGATCTTAGTATTGAGTACAGTTTGCTGGTCTTGTGGTTGCCATTTTTCATGGAATAGCTTCCTGTCTGTATGAGTTGCCAATAAGGAAATTCTTATGGACCATAACCGTCTTAGGAAGTCTGAATTTTTTGAATTAGTTTTGCAATCTATTCCTAAGCTGATGTGTTAGATAGACAGGGAAGAAGATTGCCCAAGTTTAACCTTGCTTACCGATTACATAAGTTGCTAGGATTTCTCGTCGGTTTGCTACTATAGTTAGCTCCCTTGTCTTTTTTCCCCCCTCATTGTTTTGCTACTTTTTAGATATTCAGAGTCTGCCTTGCTTTTTGAAAATTGTTAAGAAGCTAGCAAATATAACCCTTCACATTGTCTCATCCAATAGCCTCGTTTGCAATTCCTGTATCTTCAAGTTGTAGTGTCCCTGTTGGAGACCATTTTGTCATCAAATTGCTGTGTTATTGATGATTTGCTTGTTGAAAACACGCAGCTAGACTCTGAAGGAGCATATTCAATCATTCTATCTGGAAGTGCTGCCTTTGCTGGAGTATGGTTGGCTTCAGCACTTGTCGGTGCTATAGATTCTATTCCGCTGGTATGGACCTCTATCCTTATATACATTTTAGGTGCCTCTTGAATCAGGAAGTTCACTTGTAACTTTCTGCTGACCATCAATGATGTTCAATTCTATTGTTCAGTTTCCCAAGTTGATGGAAGTTGTCGGTCTGGGCTACACATTCTGGTTCAGCACTCGCTATCTTCTTTTCAAGGTAGCTCTATCATATTTTATATTAAAATAAGTTGTCTACAATGCGATGAGTACACCTTACCAGTGAATCACCCTGTCTTTTATACACTGCAGAAAAATAGGGATGAATTGGCAGCCAAGATAGAAGAGCTCAAGCAGCAGGTTCTTGGGTCAGATGATTGATTGATTTGCAAGGAAAATTCTGTACGGCGATGTTGAGTATTCCATACAGTTCATACTTAGGCGGGTACAATATAAAATCTGTTAATATTCAGAGTAGTGAAAAGCAAGCTTTTGTATTCTTTTGGGATTGAGCCCCCAGTTAATTACAAGTCATCACAGTTTGTCTGATGGTGGATTTTGTCATGAATTCAGTATTTACCATCTTAAGCAAATAGCCTGATGCATCATTTTCTTCATACATGTATATGTATATATATATATATATATATATGTGGTTAAAGAAGCAGTCCATGTGCTAACGACGTCGTTAAAGGCAGTCTGTCTGTTTTCCTACTGACAAAGACTCAAACCAAGCAGGCAGATGTGTTGAAGAATCTCAATCTATGGTTTCATGTTCCTAAAGTACTGTCTGTCACTATTATGTTTTAAATTCTAAATATTTCCAGCTAACATAAAAGCAATATTTCTTCTCTTTATATAAAGCCAAAAATGTATGTATATAGCTACCAAGTAGCCACATGGTTTGTATAATGATACTATACATACAACCAGTTTTATATTGTATTTCTGTTGCCAGCTATCACATTACCCACCATTTATGTCACAACATGAAGTTATTTAGCCTGTGCTTACAATAAATTAATGCGTTTTCAAAATTTATAGGGGAAATGTTCTTGTAGCTGGTGAAAATTTTATAGAAAATAAATCAATGCATTTAAAATTTTATTGTTTGCAATATAATTCAGTATGTATAGAATTTTATAAACCAAGTTTTTCACTTTAAAAGTCAAATTCTCCCGCAACATATACTAAAAAATTTAACATGTGATCTATCTATCATATTATATAGTTTTTACATTCGATTCTGATACTTATACTAATTTTTATGTTCAATATAAATTTTATGTATTCTGAGTAAGAAATAAATAATATGGCAATATACATTCTTAAATCTTGCTTGTCCAATTAAATAACATGATCCAACTGTAAAGCTCCCTTCATGGCCCCGCAGCTACACAAACTATTGATATCAAAATATAAAAATATTATTTCAAATATATTTTAATATTTTGGATTAGACTAATCCTTTATTAATTTAATTTAATTTAAATAAATAAAATATAATTTTTATTTCAAAAAAAATAATATATATATATATATATATATATACCCAGCATGGGACATTTTCAATACATTGACCTTAAACATATTTATATTATATATTATAAATTATAAATTAAATATACTCTCTTAATTTCCCTTATTTTTATATTACCTTCTTTAATAATCTTAATCGCTAAGCATCCCAAAAAGGGAAGAGGAAATTTTCATGCACCCAACTTGATCCAGCACGCCCTCGGTATCACTGAGAGAAAGGCCACGCGGGGGCCACCACAGCGCGAGTCTAGACGGTCAATCTACTTTCACGCCGGAGATCACCGACTCTTCCGTACCACCGCTAAACCGACGTGGACATGGGGTAACGCCGTGATGTAACCCTTGGGGCGGCGCACCCAGACTGGGTGCGAACCAACGCCCGTTAACATAAATCCGACCGTTATCCGTATGGCGCGTATCTGACTGCCACGTCAGCTCCACGTCAATGTCACGTCTCCGTTTAGTTCTCCGGACAGAATCTCCGGTGATTTGACGTTTCTGAAAGAAAAATTGCAAAATAAAATAAAACCGTAATTCATTAAAAGAAAAAAAGTTGACCAAAAAAAAAAAAAAGTTTCGAAAAACATTTATTTTCCGGGAAATCAGATGGAATGTTAAACAGTGAAAGAGAAGTGAAGCAATCATTAAGTTTTGCGGAGTCTCTCTGCAACTTCTTCTCTCTCGTTTTGTTCAACTTCGTTATTATTCAGTGTAAGCATATACATTTTCATTCTTCCATCTCCTCTTTCTAAATGAGTTAATGGGGTTTCATTTTCTTCAGTTTATCGAAGGCAAAAAATGAATCCGAGGATTCTTTTCTGTGATTTTCTATTTTTCTTCGTTTATGCTGTCATTTGGGTTCCTATACGAGTGTTTCAGTTTTTATTTTTGGGGTGTTTATAATGTGAAACTTCGGTTTTCCAGTATAATCTTTTGGGTTTTACTGATCAGTGTATGAACGTGATATGTCGGCTCGATTTTTATTCAGGGTACATTGAGTAGCGTGATTGTCAGATTTTGAGTCTCTTTACTTTCTATTTGGCTGCCGAGAATCGCCGAGAACATATATGGGAAGAAAGGAGAAACAAAGTTGAGATCTTTTTGGTTATTTAAGGGAAAACATAGTCGTGGGTTTTGACTAAAATTTTGACTGTTTGGTTGCCGAGATACTGATTAACCATCTCTTCTTACCCATAGGAATTTTGGGTTTACTTCAAAATACTCTTTTTTTTTTAACGTGAATTGATTGCAGAATTTTATCTAAATTGTAGGTTTAGTTGAAGATTGGGGAAGAGCTAGACAATGTTCAGAGACGGCCTCCACGGGAATGTTCACAGACGGGTTCGAGAGGTGAGCCAATACGAAATATAATATCTTTAAATATAGTTCATATGTAGAACTTTCGGTTAGATGTTACTTTAGATTCTTCGTATGGCGAGAGTTTTTTTATTGTTCTGATTCAATTTCATCCACCATGTACTAGGAGGATGCTTTGAAGAAAAAAGATCCGTGTAATCCGATTTCAACTCAAGGGGTGAAAGTTAATCCTCTTTCCATTTCAAGAAACGGTGGGAAAGGGTTTGGATTGTCTCCTCCATCCAAATTCCAAAGTGGTCATTTCCCATTGAATGGACTTCCTAAATCGAAGCCAATACAGGCTGGTCGATTCGGATCAGATATGGATATATCATCTGATTCAGATGAGCTCTATGGTAGAGAATATTCAGTCGATACATCTCCTCAAGATCGAAAAATTCCCAATGGTTCAGGTTCAAAATTGTT